TGAAAGATCTGCTTTCTGCCTTTCTCTTCCCTCATCTCTTTCCCCCTTAACCTCCTTTTACTCATTTTTCTTTAGTAGTTATCACCTAAACTTGCCTTAAAGTAGCTGTAAGGAAACAGCACCTTTGCCAAAGTACCCTTTCGGGAATAATGCCTGTTAACTGTTGTTAGAAAGTTGCCTAATTTTGCCTTGAAGTAGTAGATTAATTGTTGTTAGAAAGCTCAACTTATTTGTTCCTGTGAGTCACTGTGAGTCACTGGTGTGACTCCATCACTCCTGTGACCCTGCTCAGTGCCATTTTCAGGGGATCTCAAAAATTCACCTTGCAACCCACAGAGTGGGATAAGACACTTGCTAATACCTCGTGTTATTGTATTGCATTTAAATCACATTTAAGTCTAAGAAAAGACTCATTTCTATAACCTGCCTGCACTCTCTTTCCTATTACTTTCCCATTGCTTATCATCTTCACGTATTTGTTTCTAAAGCTAAAGGATGGGCATTTTAGTAGAGGAAGTAATATCTCCAGACCTCTGAATGACGTGATGTGCTCTGAATGATAGCACCCAAAATGAAAAATAATCATAAGCAATCACAGGACAGAATTTCTGGAGAAACAATCCTTAACAAAGCAGTTGTTCTAATGAAATGAAACTAGTTTATGTCAAGTTTTCCTTAAGTCTTCTTAATGTTTCTTCCATTTCAAGGCTTTGCTCACATGTGAGCTGGTGATGGTTCAGGAGTTTTGGTGGGTTGGTGGATTAAGGCTCCTAAAGTTATTCAAGAGCAGCAGACAAAGAGACAGACCTCATCTTTCAGATTAAACTTATTGTTCATTAACTGCTTGCTGTATGCTAAACATCAGCAGCAATCCACACGCTAGTTTCCTCACTTCAGCAGCTTAGCTGGACACATTATTCCTGGATAAACATCTTAAAATACCTTTATTGGTTAAGATATTAAAAATGAGAAGCTTGACTGTTCCTCACAGAATGAAATAAACGTGAGATCTTACAAAACCATCTAACTCAACAGGCTGGCATTTAAAATAAGGACACAGTATTAAGTTTGATGTTCTTCGCCATTCATCATTTTGATATTCAAACAGACACTACTTTAAAAACAGCAGCTAAGAAGATCTCAGAAAACAGCAGAAACATCTCTAGAAAGGATAGATGTACAAAATAAGTTCAGTGCACAGCTTGGAAATTCAGGGCAGTACCACACCATACAGGTGCTGGCATGCTGGGCCTTGACAGCAGTGGGCAGTGACAGCATAGAAGGATGCAGAAACTACACAAACAGTCCTAAGGATCTGCTAACACGATGAAGGGAAACAAAATCCTATGTGTAAGCATTATCATATTATTGTGAAAGAAGTGAGCCTCCAGACACATGAAGCAGAAGCTGTTCTCCATATGCAAAACTGGTACAACAAGAAATAGCATCCCTGATCTGTACTGCTGGAGGTTTTGGGAGGACAGTTCCCTGCCATGAAAGCAATGAAGCAGTGAAATGGACTGTCTGGAGGCACTGCAGAGCACCCATCCTAAATGGCTTTCCAAAAACAGCTCAGGCAAGTGTTTGCCTGAAACAACGCTGCAGGTAAGAGCAGGTGAGGCTGCCTCCAAACCCAGATGAATCAGGGAGAAAAGCTTCAGAAAGCAAACAACAACAACATCAAAAACTAATACGTGCAATTTTTCTTCACTCATCTGCAAGACAAGGTACAGAAACTTGTTGGTTTGCTTGTTTTTAAACAGAAAGCTAGAAAAGTTGCTTAGACCAAATCTTTGCATATGCTAAAATACCTGTAGGAGTAATGAGAGAGAAAATCACTTATTAGATCTTTAACTGAAAAGCTTCTAGTCATACTAATGCCAATCTGTAAGAGTATGAAAACCTATTATCTCTTCACAGGATGAAGTCTAAGTGTTAGTCTTAGCCATGCATTTTTCGTTCTCCAACTTTCCACGGGCAGTACAAAGATCCAATATCATTATTCAGAGGAACAACAAAACCAAGACAACTCAACCATCCCATAAGAAGAATCAGACAACCAACATGAGCATGGCCAAACAAAGATGGAATTAGCGACAAAGAAGTCCATTGTGTATACACAAAGATCACAGCTATGAGGGGGAGAAAGGCATGGAAGAGGCTGAGGGAAACAGAAATTGACATTCAAACATTAAGAAGCCTTGCTATGATCAAATTATTTGTGGATTAGATACACAGTAAATGATGAAGCAGACTGCACATACAGAATAGCCATTAAAAACACAGTTTAAAAAATCTTACAATAAACATCATGACGGATCACAAAAGATCCATATCTCAGGACTAAAAGTACTGGAAAAACACAAATTCCCTCCTACATTTTCTTTTACAGCACAGTCAGCTTGCACAAATCACCACACCTCACTCCTGTTTGAAGCTAGCATAGTCCAGAGTAACCTTGCTCTGAATTTGACAGTGCCTGCTAACAGAGACCTCCAGCTTAAGCTGCAGATCTGTTTGCTGAACCATACTGAAATGTTAAAAAACCACTTTGAACACTGCCTTACAAAAGGTCAAAACACATCCTTTGAGAATTCATGTTGTTTCATAATGAAAGAACGTCCATAAAATTTTTAGGCCTCGGCATTTTGCATTCTTAGTGTTTGCTAAGCTTTCTTAGCAAGGAAGGGAAACTGCAGGCCCTGTGGGCAGAGAACTTAATCTGGAGAAAAAGGAAACGCCTCAAAGGACTGTAAATGTCCGTGCCTTTCCTGAAGGTGACCTGTCACTGTCGGACTCAGTGACAAATATGCTCCTTTAAAAACAGATAAACTGTATGTTAAGCATGAAAGAGATAAATGTCAACAATTTAGGGAGAGGGAGATTAATCTCCTGTCGCTCCGGCTGCCAAATTTTGGAGCAGCGAGTGTTCTGTACTCCAAAATGTCAACCAGCACTGCATCATTTGTTCCTCGCTCACACCCATGAACATCTTTCCATCCACCACTAAGCGGAGCTGTTACTCTTAGGAAAGACTTTCTCCGTAATTTCAAATGCGTTTGCAGGCAAGACTTTGTTGGCAGTGTCTACAGCTTTCCGTAGGGTGAAAAATAAAAAATAAAGATCTAAAAAAATGAAAACAAGAGGAGGCTGAAAGCAGCCAGTTTTATAGTTGCTTTTGCTCTCCATTTTTGCAGTAGAACTATTTATTATTTCTGAGAGCTATAAAGATTAACTGCTTTAATTCCACAGTACGTATGCACCAGTATTTCCCAGTTATCATGGGATGAACCAATGTCATCATTGTAGTTGCAAAGAATAAGTCTGCATACAACAAACGATGGCTCCATAACTGACACATACTGCAAACACTTCCATCTGTTTCAGCAGAGGTCGTGTTTTGGGGTGCAGCAAACCAAGCAGAACCTCCCAGCTTGCAAACGTCGCTGCCAACTAATTCAGAGAAGATTTGAGGCACCAAGAGAGAACAGTGTGCAGGAGACATCCTGTTACCACCTCCATACATCACCCAATGAAAAGGCAATGTGCCACTGAGCAGAACACGAAGCCTACATGTCCACTGGGAACTTCTGGAGAAAAAAAGATCTGTTGCAACGTCACAGGAAACCCAACTATACCCAAAGGGGTTGGCCGAAAAATATGCTGTCATTGTTTTACCCAGAGCAACTCGTACAGTGACAATCAGTGATGGAGACTTCCCTGATTAAAATAAACTAAGTGAGATAGAAAAGGAAACTCCAGGAAACAGTAACTACACACGGTTTTGTGTTCATCAAGTCCCATAAATGAAAATAGAAACATGACATTTAAAAACAAAGTATGAACTGCACCTTGCTTTCAGCCCTTTTAAATGTTCAGTCAATGGCAAACTAAATAAAACTTAGCTGTGGACACCTTAACAGCTACTAATATCACAAGCAAGAGAAAGCAGCGATACTTTTGGGGGAGGAGGATGCAAAAAGTAGCAACTGACAAATTTCATTGCTTTTCCATACCTCAATATACCTCAGTATAGGTCATTTTTCTTAAAGCTATGTAAATAATAAAACTAAAATCGTGTTACTGAGAAACAGACCAGAAGGAAACTATATTAATGAGAGAGAAACACACTGTCTTAATAGCACAGTCCTTTAAGATGCATTTCAAACAGTTTGCAAAGGAATCTCCAGGTAAAGCAGCTTCCCCACTTGGCAGCCTTGGGCAGCCCCAGAGCGGAAGCTGCTGGCCAAGGAAGGGGATGGAAATGAAAAAAGCAGCTCATGAAGCACTGGCTCTGTGGAACATGAAGCCTGCTGTTTGGCAGTGTTGTTTGCACAGCCCTCTGGGAAGCTTAGCAGCTCACAGCTTCTCCTGGGTCGAGCTGCACAGCAGCCACCTTTTTGGGTTTCACTGTGCACATGAGGCAGCCCAATTCACAAGGCAGGGATTCAGGAGAGCAGAGGTACATCGTGCTTCTCCTGCTCTTTTCTTAGGTCACCAAAGCTGGCCCCACCTCTCCACCCTGCCCCAATTTTCTCATCTATAAAACACAGATGACGAAAGCTGAAGAGTGGCACTCAAAACAGACAAGGGAGGGCTGCAGCTCAAGAAGTACAGATGTCACAGCCCAGCTCTGGATTCTTCACTGCCCGGCTCAGAGAAAAATAACGTGTCATATCCCATAAAACCCATGAGTCATAATCCAGCTCTAACTTGTTTTCTCCATTGCTCATAGCCAAATAATGCAAGGAAGACTGATGCTTACCGGGAAAGAATGTGAGTAGTGTAGCATAGTGCTTCTCTCTCCTCTGCTTCAGTCAGGATGTAGTAACAGGTAGTGGAACAAGCCCTTATTACTACAGAACAAAGTTTTACCGTGTCTCGGCAGCTCAGATTTTATTCAAGCCTTTTCCAGCATTGGGACACCCTATCATAATTAATTATCAATCTTATGCACATTAAAAGAAAAAAAAAAACAACAACATAACATTCCAACTTACGTTCTCTATGACAAACGTCCATTCTTTGTCTTCAAACTCTTCAGCATGAGGATCCTAGAAAAACAAGCCAGAGAATTTAAGTCTAAAAATAATCCAGGGTACAAGAAACTGTACTTCAGCCAAGATTTTTATATACTCATGAAAATATTTTTACCCTCTGGTGAAGATAGAGGGAAATATTTCAGCTAGGACTAGGCTTCCATGATGTCAATGAGATGAGAAAGAAGTTGGTGTATGCCTGCCAGTAAAGATTCAATAAAGCCTCCTACAGACACAAACACAAGGTTTATTCTGATACAGGCCTGTAATTCCGTTTCCCTTCAACCCATGCAAAAAATAGAAATAGAAATAGAAATAAAAATAGAAATAAAATAAAAATAAAAATAATGCATATCTTACTTTAATTCATGCATTATACCTTTGAAATAAATGCAACAAACCTATATCTTGCAGGTCACAGCAGAGGAAGCCCACTCCTCCTATCTGGCATCTAAGCTCCTTGTGCCCATAGCATGAGGGAAACTCAAAGTCACAGCTTCAGCAGAACACCTCATTTCACTGCAAGTTATTCAAATAATTGCCCTTACTTCTATTGCACTACACACAAGGAATAAAAACCATTTCCACCATCAGGAAGATGTAGTAAGTTTCCCAGATTCAGCATTCATTTCCAATGTCATGAATTTTCAATCCAGTGTTGTAGTCCATATTGTGCTTGTCTGAAACTAAGATAATGGTGGAAACAGAAAATCATCTCCTTTGTGCCCTTACCAAGGATCCTACCTTAAAAAAAACCCAAACCTTAAGTCATTAATTTATCACCCAGTCGAACGAACTGTAACAAGTACCTCCAATTTCTCTTGAAGGGAACGTAGTGATAAGCCATTCTCATTGGCACAAAGGCTAATTTTGCTACACCTCTATTTTATCCTGTTATTTCTAGTTACAGGAAACCCCCCAACTACTCCTTTGCCTCTGACAGCCACACGTCACAGACACCTGCAGATAAACCTCACTTCCCCATCACCGGTGCTTGCCTTCAATATACATCCTGAGATCTCTCAGTACCCACAGCATTTTCCTGCTGTAATCGGAAGTCCATTTGTGACACTACACCAATTCTATTTTGCTGCTGTAGGTTAAAATAGAAATTGAGATATTTCACTTCTGCTTTGTTTATCTCCAGCAGGACCATCTTTCCAGAATGCTACAAGCCTCACACTCAATCACTGCAGCCTTATCTGAGAACAACCTTATCCGAGTCTTTGCCTCAACAATCCTGCTTCCCTTAGTTTTGCTTCCAAGCCAGACATCCCAGCGCAGTGCTGACAGAAACCAAATACTACAAATATGAATAAATCTTCAGAGATATTATTAAAAAAAACACAGAGTAATTTTAGAACAACGTATACAGTTGTAAATATGAGATGATGTCATCACACATCCATCACTTCAAACACCACCATTTTGTGGCATCCTGCATTAGGTAAATGAAGTGCACGACACCCACTGCTCTCCTGTATCCTACATCAGTTTTAAGGATATCATTTTCTGTAATCCAGCTATTAAATACTTATCACTTTCATGAGGTAACCTTGGGCAACTAACTTTTTGTTTAATTGCTTCCTCTGATACAGCATAAAATGACATAATGAGATTTAATAGGATCATTAATCACGTTAGGTTTAATATGCTACTCCTTAATATGTGACTAAACTCTTAAATAATTCCTCTTGCTCTATTTCCTTCATAGCTGCCCTAAACACTATTCATGCACACTGACAAGTGTCCCTAAAACCCCTTATGAAGCCAGGGCCCAGTATTTTATCTTGTGTAGCAAGCAAAACACCATGATGGTGCCCACACAAGGTAATTACCTATAAACAAATTTCTTCTGCTAATGGCAATAATGCTGATTTGCACCTCTGAAAGCTACAGCATCTGGTGATAATTGGTCAGAGCAAAATAGTAAGTATATTCAACAGGCTTCTTAAGGTTTAACATTAGCACACACCTGAAAGGAAGTTTGAACACTTTTGACAGTCCAGATCTCCTAACACACAGAGCAAAAAATACAAATGCAAATCTTCCAGGATCTCTCTAATGAACCTAACCAAAAATTCAGATGACAAGAAATATGTGAAGACACAGACATTCTGCATGTATTATTTGTATACTTGTGTATTTTTTCCATTCACATATCTGTATTTTATGAGTCACAGTTCTTGCTAGTCTTAAACTGACTCAGAAGCAGAAAGCCCCAAATAAGCTGATATAGATATGCCTCAGCATTTTGTGGTAAGGCATGTAGGTGGTTTCACTGTTCTTGCCAACATGCTTTTGCTACAAATCGGAGCAGCATGCACTGCCTTATTTCTAGCTAACTTCTACCTTCATTACCATCAGCATTAGCAAAGACTTCCTCCAAGTGCAATTATAGCTGCAACAGTTTCTATTGTAACCACCACCTCACCCCTTGGGCTAAGGCTTCCCTGTATGGTCTCTACAAAAGGGGGCATTTCTGAGAATCTGGTTAATCCTTTGTCTTAGTTTGGATTTGCAGAGGATAAATATCATTAGAAAGCATAACACATACTCACTATTGTATGGCTAACCCACACTCTGTATTCAGCTGTCATATAAAACTCAGATGATGAATTTAGCAAACTATTATTCAAGGACTTTACGAGTGAACATTTTTTAGGAAAACCAGCATTGCAATGCAAAGACAAACTCCAGCAGTGGTAACTACAGCAGCCTTTGAAATTTTCACCATATGAAAGTCCTCCATGATAACACACCCCAGAAAGCCCCACATCACCTGCAAGCAGACAACTGAAGATGTGCAGCTGGAAACACCTAAAGACAAGAATTACAAACATTCCTCACTCTCAAGCACCCTCCTGAAAGCAAACACTAAGGAGAATCACCTTAAAAGCTCAAGGAACTGTCAGCCTCTAATATTTCTTCTCAGCCTGGAACTGTCTCATGCCATTACAACCCCACTAACACAGAAGGAACGTGAGTCAGCCAGAGCCAAACATTTTATCGATAATACTCTATCAGTGCTCTGCAAATGCACTACTACCCTCCATCCAATATTCATTGTGGTTTTACCGTGAATTGAAAACTGCAGTTGGGTAAATGGACTGAAAGGCTGGTCATTTCCTTCTTGGACTGAACTAAAAATATAAAGAAAAAAATTCATCGCTTTTAGCACATAGAGATCCGCCCATTTTCCCATTTTTCTTTCTGTGTACTTTCATCTCTAAGTATGACATTCCTCTTCAGAATCTTCAGAAGTAGTTCTGGAGCTTTCTTTTTTGCTTTTATTTCTTTGTCTGGCGAGTAGATTGTCTTAGTGTTCAAAACCATTGCTCACGTGTTCAAAACCATTGCTCACGTGCGAAGTCAATAGGAACAGTGCAAAGGAGAACACACCACATCACACTTCTCCAGTAATTCTCTTGGAGAATTACATTCCCTGCTCTCTTCCCAAGGTCAGTGCAGTGCTTTATCCACCAGCACATATCACACTTTCCCAGTAATTCCCAGCTGCTTTCCTAGAGATATGCTCAATAAACTCAGTCCTCCAAACTTTGCTGTCCAATCTCACTCATCAGCCTCTTTTCTGCAATTCCATTCTATCCTCTCACCTGCCAACTGCCAGAAAACAAACCAGGTGATTCATATGGTGAATTCATCGAGAACAGGGCAAGAGAAGAGCAGCAAGGCATTTGTGTACCACATTTTTCTGGCTGCTGTTGATCAGATCAACCCATTCTACAAGGGCATTGTTAAGAACTAGATCCTTTCTGCAGTGCATAAAGTAGCTCAGAAGACTGAAGAAGTTTACCCAGTCCATAATCTGCAGTTGTTCCTATTTGGAATCAGAATATTGTGAGTTGGAAGGGACCCATACGGTCCATCAAATCCAACTCTTGGCTCCAGAGAGGACCACTTAAAAATCAGAATGTATGTCTGAGAGCACTGTCCAGATGCTTCTTGAACTCTGGCAGCTTGGTGCCATGACCACTGCCCTGTGGAGCCTGACCACCCTCTCAAGTGAAGAACCTTTTCTTGTAATAAGAATAAAAAGAAGGTATCACAAACACAGAATTGCTCCTCCTCCTGCTCAGCAGAGCATCCAGGAACAACCTCCTGACTGTTAACATCTGCAGCATTCTTCCTTTCTTCCCTGTGCCTCCTCCCCAAGCCTTCCAGGCTTTTGAAGCTTGTCTTTCCTTTATATCACCTCACGCCAGCCTTAATCTTTGGTCATTCTTCTGAAGAAAGAAAGGGCTTAAGGACTGCCATACTGAATCAGATCAAGTGACTACGGGGTTTGTGAACCTTCTCTGCCAGAGACCAACAGCAGATGCCCTGGATAGTCCTACATCTGCCCTCAGCATTTGTACCTGGCTATTGGAAGCTGCAGAAGAATCAGAATTTGACCCGATTCCTACTGCTTTCTATGTTGTTTATGTAGTTCTGATTAGTGTAGAAAAATGACATACAGCTCTGCTGAGTTTTCTTCAGAGTTTTCAGAAGGCAGCAAGTGCTGAGCAGACCTACTCCTGTATGTCACCACAACAAGCTCATGAGCACTTGCAGTTCCCCTTAAAGCCCCCAGGCTAACGGCAACAAGGGTTGACTTTATTTTTTTTAATAACAAAACTTTTCAAATAGGCTCCACAGTAATCCCAGATATTAAATTATTTAATGTGCAAACAGAATTATGCACCTCTCCTTTTTCCCTGAACTTATCACTTTTATATCTGACACAGACCATCTTGTCTTATCTACACAGCTGGTTTTCTCTTGTGGATAAACCCCCATGGAGTCAGGTCAAAGCCAGTGGTCTCTCCTGAACAAGTATGTTCCAAACCTCAATTTACTCTTCACTTACAGATGACTTTATTGAAGGCTTTTTTCTCTCCTGAGACAGGGGAGAAGAAAATGCAGAGTAACACTAGTGAAACACAGACATTTGTTATTGTAAGCTAAATTACGTGAATTTGAGTGTGATGTAAAATAAACCTACTAACTTCATGGGAAAAAAAATACTGAAGAGAAGCAGCTTTTGCAGTGAGACAGATTTCGTTTACGACAAGGAAACGAAGTACTGTTTATTAATCAGAAAATGGCTTTGTCCTGTGTGGTACTACAGGGTATGCCTGTTCATCTCCAAGCAGAAAACACTCTGCAAAGACGCATCACAGATATTACAGATTATTCACGGGAATAACTGATGACATGCATAGAAGTCAGTTGTCTTTATTAATGTTTGAAATTATAGACTAATGAACACACACACACGCACACACACACACTGAGCCTGAAACAAAGCCAGTTACAGAATTCCCCCAGACCCACACGCTCTCTGCTACAGTGAATCTACCTCTCCCTCTTGCGGCTGTCCCACACCCAAGCTAAATTTTGAAGAAGAAGAGCACTACAGCAAACTCCTCAAAGACCGAGAACCACAAGACATCCCACCCCCCTCATACTGCATGGAAAGGTGGGATTTCAGAACAGTTTGAAACCTGGCAACGGCTCCCATCACTGGGCTATGGGCTGGCAGGACACAGAGCTGTTCTTAGGATTGCCTAGGGCTGATAACCTCACCTGCCCCTCCGGGCTGTTCTCGCTTTGTGCGGCACAGCTCTCATGTCCACTTGCTGGGACTTTTTTTGTTTCTGCAAAAGAGCAGAGAGCTCTTGCAAAGAGCAAAGCCTCTCCAATTCTAAAAAAAAAACAAAACAGACACAAACACCTCAAAGGTGATAGATTCCTATTCGCGCATACTGAAGGACACGCACTCAGTTTCTGTGTTGTAATTCAAGTATGACTGAGGCTGTCAAGAAAGACAATGGAATTCATTCAGATAAATATGTGGGGATGGGAATACTGGCAATCATATGAGTCCCCTTTTCTACCTATTTTATTCTTATTTTACTCATAACTGACTGTTTTGTCCTTAGAAGACCATGCCATTCAAAGAGTCTTTTCTCAGACTTTGGAATGAAGAGCTGGTAGTCTTCCCTGTTGTTGCAACAGCACACTGCTGTGATAAACCACATGTATTACTGACAAAACAAGGGCTGTTTGTAATCAAGAGAGGCAAAGTCCATGCTTACTCCAGATGAGCAAACATTCTGCGCTCTTTTAGGCTAGAAAATAACATTGTTGCAATGGAAATACTCACAGTACAATTGACACCCACTTGGCTTTGTTAAAAGCACTGACCTTACCTGACACGGAAATATTTCTCATATGTAACCTCTCATAGTTGACATAAGCATAGGTTTGTACATATAAACACTAATATGCAGGGTTTCACACACAACAGCTAAATCTTACTTACGTAGCAACTCTGAAAATGAACTTCTGGAGCACAACCATGGCAACAATGAAAAATGTGACTTCAGTTAGCTTTTCTGGCACTTGTGGATCTTTCTAAGAAAGCACTACAAATCACACTTGCACGATACAGTCACTGTTTCGCAGTGCTTCTTTCCTCCCATTCTAGCTGAGAATTCCAAGACAACCAAAGACCAGTGCACAGCACAGCTGAGAAAGAAGTGACACTTTCAGAATAGACAGAACTTTTCATGAGATGAGCACTTCAGCTGGATGGACAGAAGCCAGAGCGAGGTACAGGAGGCTCAATCAGCAGATCCCTTTAATGCTTCTCCCTACATGACTTCAGACCATTATGAATTTTTACTAGAAATCCAGAATTAAGTGAAAGGAAGTGTTTCATTTATTTGAAATGAAAGTTTCTTAAGTGGAAGTTATTTTCTCTTCAATACTTGCTCTGTTTGAGTTACAGACACGTTGCTGGGAACAAACTAACACCCAAAATAGGGGTGTGCAGACAGTGCAAAGTACCTCATCTGCTGACCCATCACAGGCACTTCCCCAGCCAGCTCTCAAGTGTCCGTAGGTGACTACTGAAGAGGATATTCTTAACATTCTCATCAGCACTTGAAACCTCAACTTATCTCCTAATCCCACCAGCAACACATTTCAACAGCCACTTACAAACGCACAGCCACTACAGTGTGAATCATTTCCCAAAACACGTAGCTGTCTATTTTGGAGTCTGCTCTTCCCTTCCCTGTGCTTCTATTTCAAACAGCACCACTGCGCTCATTTGTTATCTGTGATTGCTACAAAGCTCTGCCAGAGAACCTGCTCCCATCAGTAGATTCTGAGCCCCCAGCTTCCCTCAGCTTCTCAACTTGTAGCATAAAGGGACAACCACTGTTTCTTAAAACAGCAAGGCCACATTAATTGTGGTTGTTGCAAAGTGATAAACGGTCAGCAGTTACTCCTTTTCACAGGGAAGGAGCTCCTAAAGGAACTTAAGGATGGCAGGTTACAATTCTTTTTCTGAGCTTTACAACTTTAAGGGTTTTAGCCTCCCTCCCTCCAGCGGAAATGACATAAATACCTAACTTGGAAGTCAGCTCCCAAAAAGGCTACTGCAGTCTGCTATTACATGCTTCTAACTCCTCTGGTGCCAGCCAGCCAATCCATCAACTGTGCAAAAAATAGCTAGATCCTTTTGACCATCTTCACCCAGAATGTATCAGCTACAGAAACAGCAGCTCTTCAGGTGCCAGGACAGAACTACACTACAGCTGAATGCTGCTACAGCACTGATGCCATGCTCTGCCAACAACAGTATTTCACTCACAGCATTTCACACAGGCTGTTCTCATGGAGACAAACAGAGCTTCTTCTGGTGCATTACCCAACTTGCACAAAAAGCACTGCTGTGTCACACATGCAGATCCTTACAGGGAAAAAAAAAAAAAAAAAAAGTGGACTTTAGCCAATTATGGGCACTCTTTTTGGAGAATCCAGAGGATCAATTTGAGCAGATTTACATAAAAGCTGCCTGAGACTATTGATTTTTTTTAAAAAACCAAAACACTGAGATCAAGCAAACTCTGTACTTGCTCCCCTAGAGATAAGTGTGCACTGTTTCCAGAAGGCAATGCCCATGGGGTTATTCACATTCCTTCTCTCCTCCAGACCAACTCTCACAGGCGGCAAGAAAAGGGACAGACTCAGTTCTGGAGAGATGAGTCGGGAGACAGCAGCCCAGCACACAGATCTGTTTGCAGTCACATGCTGGGCACGTTGAGGCTGCAGAGAGGCACGGCGCAGGCTCCTTCCCTCCTCTCACTGCCTGGTGCAAGCCCTCACACTCCAAACCCAGCCCTGAAGTGGAGCAGCTAGGAATAACACAGCAGTGTGCGACTGCAGGAGAGGGGTGGGATTCGTATTCCAGAGCCCCTGCATTGCAGAGCTGCATTCAAACAAAACTTCATTTCTACCTCCTCACATAGCATGCTAGCACATACACACTGAAGAACTATGTGCATTTCTGCTTCACTTTAACTGTTAAAAATATTAATTATAATACATAATTATGTAAAATGTCTTACATAATCACATTCAGATTATACAGATACACAGCATAGTCACATAATGGCTTTAAATGACTTAATCTAAGCAGAGGCCCTTGAAGCATGCAAAGGCAAACAATTTCTGTTAGTGAACTTTTGAACTTCAGTTGAAGACTATGTGTCTGCTATGAAGAGAGACAAATTTATGACAGCACCACCAGCAACCCAGGAGGTTTCCTTTCATTGGCCATACAAGGACAAAAATATATAGCAGAAAGTTCCCCTTCACAGTCTCATGGAACCAAATCACAAATTCACATTTGTGAGCTTCGTGGCTAACAAGAAGCCACTTCTAACTAGTTATACAGGGAAGTCCCAAAAACAGGACACAGAAATAACTTTTGCCCTAGGCTGTGTAGGGTACAGTTACAAACAAGGACACACCATCCAAAGCTGCAGTTTATCTTTATGTAGAAAGGACTCTGTCCATCATTACTGGGGAATTAAATTGTAGCATAATCATTCATTTGTCTCATAAAATCATAGAATCATAGAATCACCAAGGTTGGAAAAGACCTAAAAGATCACCCAGTCCAACCGTTCACCTATTCCCAATAGCTCCCACTGAACCATGTCCCTCAACACAACATCCAGCCTTTCCTTGAACACCCCCATGGTCAGTGACTCCACCACCTCTCCTTGATTTGGAGTCACATAAACTTTTTTTGTTCAAACAAATAAATGCAGCTCCTCAGAAAAAAATACCCTGCAAAATCATAAATTCTCTGTACTATTCAATACACCAAATCCACTCATAAGATTGAGCTAAGGCAAGTACCGTGGTGTCAGTGTGACACCCTAAATATCGTGAAGTTTGAAGCTGGATCTTTCTTCTTAATCAAGACAGAAACAGAGTCACTGCACTGCAGCTGAACAAGGAAGTCTAGAAATGGCTGTGTTTTCACGACTTCTGGTTTATAACACTTAAAGAAAACCAATCAGACTAAAATCCATGCCAAGCATTTACACATGTACTATGTGCACACTCACACACGTACTCAGTTCTATGCTGGTGACTTACTGTAATCAACTCAATGGGATATTTCAATGTTAACAGCAACCTTTGGCAGGACACAGGCCATCCTTCTCTGCTGCGGAACTGAGGTTGTGCAGGTAATGACTTAACCCATAAACTCGGTGGGTTTTTTTGTTTGTTTTTGTATGTTGCTTACAAAACATGGAAGATTATTTAATAAAAAAAAAAATACATACCTTAAAAAGTGTCACAGTAATCTCAACATTTTCAGGAACAGGCCATACCACCACCCCACGGTATGGGTTTTTGATTCCAGGCTGCCAGCTATGAGCCTAAAGAAAGAAAAGAAACAGCTGTCTTAAAACCATTCTAAGGGTGCAGACCTGACTCAGCAGCACAGGCAGGTGTAACAAGCCGCTGACTCCAAAAGGCTGCTTTCTCAAATGCATGGCTCCAAGCAACACTGTAACAGACATCATTAAGAATGGGAGTTAAGAAACCTGGACCACTAGGAGCAAGAGCTACTTCAGTGAACCCAAGCTGTCCTTACAAGGTGCTGAGCTCTGGCTTTTGAGTACACAGCACAGAGTGAGACACTCAGTGCCCTGTAAAGATCAAGGCTGTAAGTACAGATCTTCTGTAACAAGTTGTCCTTTATTTTGGCTTTATTCTGATGAGGGAATGTTTTATTTAATGAAAATATGGTAAGCGCAGTGCACAGTATGGGCCATCTTTACACCTGATAGAGCAAAACAAACCACAAGACAAGAATTTATAATACAGATTAAATACTGCTACAACACAAATCCTTAAGAATTAGTAAGCTGAGGTCAACACACCTAGAACGAATAATTTAAAATTATTCTAGCAGCAAAATAGCCTGAGAACACATTTACCTTTGCTCATCAATTTGGACTGAGGCAGGATCAGTACTGAAGCTCTAACAGCTAGTCCTGAAAAATGCCAACTGTGAGAACTTCTGTTTCAGAGTAAGCTTGGAAAAAAAATCATATTTAATTTCACCCATTGTGTGATGCTGTAGGACAAATGAGAGAGGAATGCTGATGCACAAGTGACTGTTGAGCAGTAAGGGTGTTATTAAAAACCTGCTGAAGTTTCATCAGGAAAGAACAAGCAATCTCACTACTGTTATCTGAAGCCAATTAATGAGGCTTTTTTTCTTTTTCTTTTCCTTGAAGCTCTACAGCATCCCTGCCCATTACAGTTTCATCCTTCTGTCACTCAAATCCTCAGATTAAAACTCCCTATTTGCTGTAGTAATAAGACTAGCAGAAGGGCTTGCCTCTCAGGTACCCTTAAAGCTTAAACAGGACTTCGCTACATCAAGGTGTGAAACAATCCTATCCAGCAACCCAGAGGAAGCACCTCTGCACTGTGTCCTCTCAGTGCCAGGTTTGTGCCCGGCAGCTCCATGGCGTGTGCCTGCCACCCAGGTGCTCCCCACGCTCAGCTGGGTGCAGCAGCATCAGCACACCTCGGCGGCCTCTCCTAACCCCCAGCCTGCGCAAAGCTGAGGTCTGCAGATGAGCCGTGGGTGACGGCAAGTGCTGAGACAGCAGGGGCAGAAGAGGCAGGATGGATGGATGGATGGATGGATGGATGGATGCAGAGGTGGAAAAGCTGGGAAGAGCCATGAAGCTGAAGAACGGGGAAGCTGTGGGCACAACGCAGCCTAAGCAACCAGCAGAGAAAGGAGCCCTGTCTGCCCACACAGCCATACACTCACTGCACACTCATTTCCACCCGAAGATCTTTGTTTTCTTGCTGAATATCACCAACTCCTTTGTGATTTTATCAGAGATTTTTGCCATCTTTGTTTTTTTCTTTTTTTGTTAAATCTCCAGCTCTCAAAGATGTCTAATTAGATGGGAAATTTCAGCAAGTTTCTTTGTTTTGTGCTTGCAGAATCCAATTAAATATAGTGTGACTAGGGACACCTGAGGAAAGGAGGGGAAAAAAACAGCAATTTGAGAGAATCCAATTTCTACAATTTTTATTCCATGAATTCCAACCTAATCTCATTATTCCTAGGCAGGCCTGGATGAACTTTTGAACAGCTGAGCAAACAACGCTGCTCATAGCTTTACTCTGAGAGTTTATTTCGTATGAAGAAGCAGCTCAATGAGCAGTAGAATACACTGCAACAGCTACCATCCCCACAGCATGAGTCCCAGCCCCACTCACTGTCCCTTCCAGCTCCCAACACCATTCCCCCTTTTTCTGATGGGGATGTGCAATGGGTACAGGGCAGCAATCAGCTGAATGTGTGCTCACCTGCAGTCAGGCTGTCATTGAATCACATAGAATCATAAAATGGCCTGGATTGGAAAGGACCTCAAGGATCATCAAGCTCCAACCTCCTCTGCCCCCAGCCACAGGCAGGGCCACCAACTTCCCCATTTAATACTAGACCAGGCTGCCCAGGACCCCATCCAATCTGGCCTTGAACACCTCCAGGGATGGGGCATCCACAACCTCTCTGGGCAGCTTGTTCCAGCACCTCACCAATCTCTTGGCAAAGAATTTCCCCCTGATATCCAACCTAAATCTTCCCTCCTTCAATTTAAAACCACTTCCTTTGACCTGCCATTATCTACTCTTGTGATGAGTTGACCACTTTCCTTGGGCGTCGCCTTGTAAACAGGCAACGTTTGGACAAAAATGGACCAAAACCAGCAGCTTCTCCTCTACAGAGGGAACTCCCCCTTCTTTCCAGATGCCACTTTTCACAAAGCTAATGGCACCTCTTTTTTTGGCTGATGCTGACACATACCAAACATCTGCTGTCTGAGGCCCAGATGCTGACAGCCTGCTTAGCCAAGGATCACCTTTATAAAATGAACCAGAAGATGAACACTCACTGGTGCAGGCAAAGTTTCATTTCAAGAACTGTATCAACACTGCCTCCTACCAGAAGAGTTGGTGACAATAATAAAAATACACACACACAAACACAGATAGACATGATTTTCTGTCAGTGTGACAGGCACATCACTGGAAGAGACAAGCAGGAGGCAAGTCCCAGCTAATGAGCTTTTAAAGCAAAGCCATCCTGTGATCAGCTGAACGTCACTAAATCCTCCTTTAGCTTTGAAAAAGAAACACTGTACCTAACAAACAGCCAACAGAACATGGTAACACTGAAATTACATCTGGGCCATTGGGAAGGGGAAAGGGAAAAGGGAAAACAAAGGGGGGAAAACGTAGGGGAAGTGCTAACAAACTCAACAATAATTAATAAGAGCGTTATTCTAAGGCAGTTAGATTCTAATGCAGACCTCCACAGTGCAGTTTCTTGAAATTGCATCTGATTTGATCTGCCATCATTTTAAGCCCTCCCCCCACAGCCCTTTTGCTACGTGAGCAGGATCAGGCCACCTGCCCACAGCAGGCCTGTCAACGCTTTCAGCCCCGTTCTGAAAGACAGCTTCTGGCAGGGCTCAGCAAAGGCCCAACGCGCCTCTGCAGCACTCCAAGCCAGCTCCCATCTCCAGCTCCACTCTTCACCAGGCTGCATGGCCAGGCAGACTTCCCCCTCATCTCTTACTCATCCTCGCTCGAGTTCCCTCAGCCCATCCCTGCAGCAGAAGTGGTCTGGCACACTTAAGTGCCTCCTGCACAGCCCTTCCCTCCAGCAGCTCCCAAACCAGAGGGGTGAGAATCAAGGCCCACAGCAGAAATGCTCTGTTGAATTTCCAGGAGAAAAACAACTGCTCCTTTTTTCTGCCAGGGAAAACAAGAGGAAAAGACATAGTGTGAGGGCTAGTTTAAATAAGGAAACAGGAGCTACAGGAGGGGTTGCTGAAATGCCCTATAAATAGACTTGGACCATGACTGATCGTCCAGCCCACTGCATTGCTTGGCACAAAGCAGAGGCCTGTTGAGGAGTAAAGCTGCTTAAGACAGCACCTGGAGGTGATCCTACAGACTCCCACAGCCACTTCAGGCTACCCAGTTCTTTCTCCAGTTTTGTTTGTTGTGTTTTTTTTCTCTAAAATGATGACAGTTCCAATCTGGACAGCTTACTTTTCTATCTACACATCTGTGATGCTGGGAACGTCTCAACTGTTCTGCCCTGGTTGAACTGGGAAGATAAATGAGGCACCTCTGTGGTTCGGGTCTCTGGTTCCAGCAAGGGAAGAACCTTTAAAAAGAGACTGAATTGAGCAGCTTTCAGGGCCAGATGATGAAAATGTCCAGCGTTCCTCTAACACAACTTCCCATGAACTCCTTCACTTTGTCAGCTTGCACCTATTACAAATGTTATTACACATCCATGTATTCCTGCTAAAAAGCCAAAGAACTGCTAAGCTCAGAAAATGAGCAATAACTGTAGAAAACAAGTTTGCCAGCACCAGGCTTGCTGTTCAAGCTTCAAGTGACTCACATACATTTGTGACACGTTCATTGAACACGTGATTTATGCTCTCTTTCCCCAGACCTTGCCTTATTTGCTACCCATGGCAAAGGATGCTCAGTTAGTTAAGCAGCCGCCCTTTCATCTCCCCTTCATGTAGTTTCAGGCCTCATCTCTATACAAAACTGAGCTCAGGGTTAGTTTTCCTCATGGCTTTCTGGGACATCTATCCCTTTCAGCCACTGTACATCCTAACATCACCAAATTTTAACTTTACGGCGTCCCTGGAGAACAGGAGGATATTTTAGTCTCCAATTTACAAGCAGAGATAAAAATAGACAGTTCCCACTGATTTTGCACATTCTTAAATCAGCTAGGACCGTACTTCATGATGATAAAGCATGAAACTATCTTTTCTTTTGTTTTCCAACACCTAGACTTCTTTTTCTTCAGCTGCAATTATGGCTGCTCAACACTGCTGCAAGTCAGTCACTATGCTCTAGACACCCACTAAATGAAAAAGTACATCAAATCCAGCTTCAACATTTTGCCTAGCTTCAACCAAAGCATTGTAGATTATTATGTTAACGTGACAAAACAGAATTCCTCAAGGCAGCATTTTATCATATCACGGTGAGGCAGCCTTTTTTGTTCGTTTCCTACACCTCCTTCAACAAACACCCCCAACTTCCTCACCAAATAAGCGGTTTCACTCACTGCTCAATTTCTATGCTCTAACTATTCTCAGACTAATGAGGAGTCAAAAAACAATTTGCAGTTGCCTTATTAAAGAGTACATCACATGCCTAAAAGACTACATGCCAATGCAAGAATGACTCACGCTAACTTTGAGTGCTTGCATTTGCAACCCTACATTACTTCCCTAATTTACTAGTAAACCCAAAGGCTCAGGAGTGCCATTACCAAACTGCACTGGTGGCAGGCAGTCACCAGCATGCTAGAGTCACAAAGTGCTTTTATAACACCAGTCAGTGAAAGAGCTCAGAGTAAGGGCTGGCACTTGGCAATGAAGGAGCCAGGAAAGGCAACAGATGGCCAAGGATAGCAAAACAGGTGGTCCCACTGTTGCTTTATTGATGGTGTGTCCTCAGAAAGCTGGGTGGGCAGCTGGCGTGGACAAGGGATCCTTTCTACTCTCTACATACAGATCCCTTACTGTACTGCCTGTCCCTCTGTTTCTCAGCTCTGCTCTCACTGTTGAAGTCCCTTCCCTGTTTGCAGTGTCGTTCCTTTTCCTCTTCATGAACAGCTTTTGAGAAACCTGCAGCAGAAGTGCTGAAATCACAGGAAAGGCACTTTCTCTCCACTTTGATCAGTAAGTATCTTTGAAGAATAATTCTGCAGGCTCTCAAAAAGCAAGAGCAAATTTGATCCTTCAGAAGTGTGTAATAGAAGCATAAGTCTGCATGTGTTCACAGGGATAGCAGAAAGTACCTCCTCGACATCACGGCAGAAACTCTTTTCAAATTGAAATTTCCTAGTTCAAAGCCTGGAAATTCAAGAGCATCTCAATGAAATAAAGGTAAACATATTTACAACATATTTTTCCTTGTTCAGTACCAGAACAAAGACTTTCCTTCCTTCAGAATCCAGCAAAGGCCCACCAGATGACGAGGGGAGAACAGCCCTCAGAAGAGGAGTGAGTTGGCAGTCCCAGCTCAGCCTACAAAAGGGGATGCTTAGTGGGTTCTCACCAATATGTATTTGAAATCTCTGAAGCAAGGCTGTGAAGAAGTTAGAGTCAAACTCTGATCAGTGTGGCAGCCAGTGAGAGGATAAGAACACACTCTGGACCACAGCAGGCTCCTCCTGACCACCAGGCAGCACTTCTGTGCGGGTCGTGGAGCAGTGGCACAGGGATCCAAAGGCAGTGAGGTGTCATCTTTGGAGATCTTCAGCAGTTGCCTGGACACAGTTCTGGGCATCCTGCTCTGGGTGGCCCTGCTACTGGACAGGTAACCTGCAGAACCATCTTCTAACCTTGAGCATTCTGCAGGTCTGTGATTGATGTGTTACAAACATCCTTCATTATCTCTAGCTATACCAAAAGGTCATAAAAGAAGTCTCTACAGCATCTTTACTGTAAAACCTCATTCCTTTCCTCCTCCTTCTCAAAGAAGCTTAAAAACAGAACATTATTAATGCTTGGTACTCTTTCAGCCCAAGGTCTGTCAAAAACAAAGTAAGAGGAAATATTCATTTGACTTGCTTCCAAGGAGGTAATTAGATGAAATAAATGTGTTGAATAAAGTATTTTACTGGCAGGATGACCAAGAGATCAAGAACATTTATTGATCTGCAGTCTTGGACCCAAGCAGCTCAGACTGTATCAACAACCTAAGCTTTAGAATTAATTGTACCCTCTATGAAGGCCTCAGTGCCACTCCACCTCTTTTAAAGTACCTTTGTGGGCTATTACTAGGCAGGAACTAGTGAGTTAGAGAGAGACTCCAAGTCCCAGGCAAATGTGCCATTTTACCCCAGAAGTGCATCTGCTTGTGGTTAGGAGAAGAATGGACACACACAAAAGGACATCACTTTTTTTTTTTAAATTTCAAGGCCCAGCTGAAATAACCTCAGCCCAAAAGCTGAGCTAGTGTTGGGAAACCCTCTCAGTTCAATGAAATGTTGGTGCCTATACTATCATGTCAGTACCAGCACAGGCAAAAACCCATCCCCTTACAAAGCCTCACTGGATTTTATTAGACCTTCTGTTTTTGAACATTTCCTAAATCTCAGCAAACCAAATGAAAGGACAAATATCCTTCTTTTCACTGAGCACGCAATGCTTGTGAAATACTGAATTTTCTGTTCTGCATTACCTTCTTTCTCTGTACTGTAGAAACTACGGGAAACAAGCAGAAAAGCCACAATGTACATTTACATCAGAAGTTACTACTCAGATAGACATCATGCTGTTATTTCAATGCAACCTGAGCTACTTTATCCTTCAGTGAAAGGCAGACAGTCTGACTGGCCTTGCTCAAGAACAACAGCTACCTTGGCAAAGGTGCCAGACTGAATCCACACCTTTGTGTTTACTCGCCACATAACACCTTTGGGTTCTCATACTCCAAAGCAGAAGTTAGGATGCATGCACTGGAGTGAGCATTTGGTTGTACAGTCATTTTCAGTCAGTAATACGGCCTCAGAAAACAAACCTTAAAATAGTTTAGACTTCCGTTTAGAAAACAAAACATAGGAAAAGCACATGACAGCCAGGAAAAGAAAGAAAGAAATGTCTCTTAAGCAGGCTAGGAAACCATATGTAGTGTTTTCTAAACACTTAGATTTTTCAGTGAACATTTCAAGATACATTCTGTGTTACAGGTGTCCTTTCTCCACCATCCTGAAGTTCTTAGGAATATCACTGAGTTACATACACATGAGCTTTGACAACAGTTTAACAGAAACATTAGTCCCAAACTTCCTCTTCTGGACAAGATCACACGCCACAGGGTGAAAGGCAGCAGCTGTGAGCAAAGTGAAGAGACCAGCACACAGCCCTTCTACGCCCTGCAGGCCTGCCTGGAGTTGGGACTCATCATTCCTCCAGCTCATTCAAGCTTTCCCTCTCTCACTCAGCAATATTTGGGCAGATGGAGAACAACCCTGCTCCAGAGGACACAAGTTGACAAAATAAGTCCCCCAATGTGAACAGTGTTTAAAAACCTTTGCTTTCTTGCTGTGTACATGCAATAGGTTCCCCACCTTCCCATGCACAGCAACAACTGACAGCTAGGACTAACAGATGATTTTACTCCTATTAATTGGTAATATAATCCCACAGAGACACGGCCACATTAAACACTGCAGATATTTAGAAATCTCTACTATTGGTGCAAGTACAAAAAAGTGCAAGTATAGGGCATTTGTTTTTAGCTTAATTTTCTACAGAAATAGATCCACAAAAACAACTGTCCATCTCATTTTCCCCTTCTACTCAGGCCCAAAGGAGACTTCAGGCAGGATAACTGCATCTCACCACCACAGCAGTCAATACAGCAGTCTACACAACCTAAGCACCTTTCAACAGAGGCAGTACTCTATTAACACTTTCACATTCATTACTGCAGGAAGAAAACTAAGGTGAAGTTCAGAGAAGTGAGAGCTATTCTGCTTGTAAAAAAAGTTATGCACACAAAAAACAGCTCAACGCAAGACAAACTTTATGTCATTAGCATTAAACACAAATTCACACTTCTCAGTGTTTGTAGAAGTGCCATGTTAAAATTTAATTTGAAGTTACCACATAGGGCTGAAAGAGACTGCTTGTATTCTTTTTGACTTGCAGCATTTTCTATTTGTAAAACATTCCCTTATTCACATTTTATCTCCTGCAGGCCTGTCAAATTCTTCATAATTATCTTTTAAGACACTTCTAGTAGTGAAACATTCTCCTTTTTAATTTAGTCTAGCAATTAATAACCGAAATCGAACTGATGCGACGCACTCATGCTAAACAAATAACTCAAGCAGAAATCAGAGTTAAGTGTTTCCATAAATCAGTGCTGACATCAACAGCAGCTTATACCGAACCTTACAGCTACACTGAGTTAGAAGAAAATAGAATTATTCCTCATTTATTCTGCTGCTCCCCACGCTCAAGAGCCAAGTCCCTCAAACAGCTGATTGTTTGCCACCAGAGTGGGAACTTACTGAGCAATCAACTAACCTTAGAGGACTTTCTTCGGCTTCTTCTTGTCCAAACCACCACTAGTTTATCTGGCTGCCTGTTGAGGAAAAGCAAATACAGCTTCAATTACAACAAAATCAATATGAAAAAAAAACAGTTTATATTAAAGCTCTTGCAATAAATAATGTATCCTCTAAGAATGTCATTATCTTTCAAATATAGCTTCTCTAAAAGCACTCTCAGAATCAATGATTTAGCAGGAAAATTAGCATTGTATTTACAGAAAAAGACTGTCCTATGGTCAGCACATTCATGCTCCATCCTTCTGCTTTCCTTGCCTGCAGGCATCTCTCCAGAGAACAGGACACAGCCCACGATTCACTTCTGCAAATGTAGCCTCTTCACAGACACCCTTGAAACAATCCAGTAATCAAAATATGTATCAATGCAAACTCTATCTTGAACTGCTATGCAGATAGACTAAAAAAGCTCTAATAAGTAGCAATGCAAACATCTCATTTTTTTCATCCCCAAAGGATATTTTTCCTACCTGAATACCTCAAACACCAAGAGAACAAAGTACTGCATCGTGTACTGAAATCTCCTTGGATGACCTCAGACAGATAAAGCAGAGCTTCCTCAACTTCAGCTCCAAATGATAAGCACACTGAAGCCTAGCATGGCTCTCCAAGCCACTGTTTTATCTTGTACTTGCAGTGAACAGAGATACTAACTCAACAGAAGGCACTTCCAGTACACACAGTTTTCTCTTCAAACCTAATATTTAGTTCTCAGTTAATAATTAGAGTCATATTCGTTCTTCCTTATTAGTTCCCCAATTGTCCCCAAATGACTTTTGACACAGACCTAACTTCCAGTCTCATTTTTCTTTTTTTGACCCATGATTCGCTTCCCACCCTGTTACTGCACTTCTGGTTCTTCTCCCAGACCCACGACCCCTCTTCCGGAGGCTCCTGACCCTCTGGTCCTCGTTGTTTCCTGCCTGGTGACACAACTTCCACCAGCAGGCCTGACTCAGCCAGCAATTTCCAACAGAGATCATACTGCCATGTAAAAGCTCCAGGGCTGGGACTGCTTACTACTATGATTTTTGAGACGTTGTGCTGTAATAGTTCTGCATCCCTAAACCCGACAGCAGAGAGTGTTTCCCGTTCAGGAATCACGGTTAGGTGAGGGAAATATGTCAGAGAAAAAGTGAAGATTTAGTGAACGCTTTCAGCATATCATAAGATGAATCTAAATAACATCCACACAAGCGCTCAGAATTGGAGAGAGGCTCCATAACCACTCTTCTAACGAACAGCTAACTGCTTTAACAGGCTGAGAGCTCATCTGAAGCACTGCTGAAGTGCTGGCTACCTTATTACATACTTTCACATCGAGCTGTTCATCACTTCTACAGGCTGCAATAGAGCTAATAGATCACTTACAATTTACATTTAAATGCCACCAGAACTAAAGTAATCCTGGACGAAAAAAAAAAAACAGATAAAGGCCAGGTGCTGTGCATGACATAAGGACACTGGCTCCTATCTGCTATTCTTATTGCCTCCTTTAACATCTCTCTTCACTTCAAGCCTGGGAGAAATGTACAGTGAAATAATCTACTCCATTTTATATTCTATAATCTCACTCTTACAGCTTCTTTAGGACTGTTTGTTGGCTGTACTTGAGGCTCCTGCCATAAAACGCTGCTTGGCAACGAGCTCAAGCTGTTACACTTTGACAGCTGCCCATTCACCTGGTGCATCTGGCGTGTCAGGTTCTCTCCCGGTTGCATGCAGCCCCAGCAGCTGTGCTTGCAGAAAAAGAAATGCCCCCAAGCGAGTGCCTTTAAGCAAAGCCACTCAAGTGTCCGGTCTCCCTCTTGTCTCAAGGGAGACACAGCTCAGCAGCCTGTCCCTCCCTGCTCCCCTCACAGCACAGCCCTGGCACACCGCAGTGCCCTGGCACTCTCAGGTGAGTGTCAGCACCAGCTACTAAGCGTGCACAAGGCACAGACATTCTTGATGCAGTCTTTGCATATTCTCAGGATCTACTAACAGACTTTAAGAGCAAGTTTCCACAAGCTTTCATCAGAGGAACGCTTGCAGGTAGAATTAACTCCCTGATTTAGCAGGAAAAACAAACAAACAAACAGACCTAACGGCCCATGACACCCAGCTAAGAGCCGCTCTAGTTTATGGGCACAGAAAGAGGGCAAGAGCTGAGTAATGGAGAAAAGCTGCTCAGCCCTTTTCCATCATTCACCACAAGCCCCTAACACTAGCAAGGTTTGACCTGGAGGACAGTCAGAGGGAAAAGGAAGAAGGGCTGTGCCAAAGCTACCTGGGCAGCTTCTCAAGGTAAAAAAAAACAAAGGCAAAGGGCTGTTTCCTACAAGGCCTGCAGAAGAGTGATGTAGGCCACAAAAGCAGAGACATTACTGCTCCTTACAGACACTACCAGTGAGTGCCAGCTCACCAGGGAGCTTTGGCCAACACCCAATTGCGCAGGCAGGCAGCCAGCAGACACACAGCCTTACAGAGACCCTGGGAACAAAGCTGAGGATGCTACCTAGGTCCTGCCTCTTGCTACAGCTCAGATAATGACAAGTCCCTTCTCCTCTCCCTGGCTTTATCCTGTACATCCTGGAATCACAAGTGATTTTTCTGCCAATAGCACCAGATCACCTTCTAACATCAAACATGCCACAGAAAAAGTGATGCTGTGCAATGGCTTCAGGGTTGCACAAATCTGCAGCTGGAGGCCAGACAGGAGATGACCCAAAAATATTTAAGCACAGAGAACCAGGCTGCCACATAAAGAGAGGTGAGAGCAAGAGCAGCAATGCAAGAACATGACAGTTCAAAGCAGGACTGATCCACACCTGCACTCCTGCAGCACCAACACTTTCATTATCATAGAATCATAGAATGGCCTGGGTTGAAAAGGACCACAATGATCATCTAGTTTCAACCCCCCTGCTATGTGCAGAGTTGCCAATCACCAGACCAGGCTGCTCAGGGCCACATCCAGCCTGGCCTTGGATACCTCCAGGGATGGGGCATCCACAGCCTCCTTGGGCAGCCTGTTCCAGTGTTCATTATGGGGTCCTTTAGAAAAGACACAAGGCTATGCCAAGTGTCTCAAAAATAAAACTAGAAATAAATAAATGAAGAAGCTGTATGTAGATGCAACACTCTTATTCTGCTGAAAAACTTAAGCACTAAACAATTGTCAAGTGTTGACGAGTGCCAGTGCAGGAATCTGAAAAAGCCTGGGTATAAGACAACCAGAGATAGGCAGCAAAAGACAGGCAGCCCTCTCCTACTACACAGGCACCTGCACCAGGCTGGTAACGGGCCTTACACCGTATCTGATTCTTTCAGACCATGTCAATCTGTGCCATGGCTTTGCTTCACATAGGCTGTCAGAGCCAGCCGGTGCCGCAGTGCAGCTCTCAGGTGGGAGCTGTTGCACACACGCAGTTGACACCAGGACTGGATTTACTTCCCAGTTCTGAAGGACTTCCGCTGCCAGGAATACAAAACGATATATACACTCACATGAAAAAACAAGTTAGAGACTCCATTCACATGGAGAAGATGGAGCCAAGCTGATAGGAGAGCAGTAGCACCCTTCGTCCCCGAGGCTTCTTCTGCTGTGTATTTATTTTGTTAAGTACAGAGCACAGTGCTCCTTCAGCTCAAAGTACCTGAGAAATCCGCTTCCAGAGGTACTTTGCCAAAATAAAAAGAGGAAAGTAATCACAATACGGAGGCAGAAAAACTGGCAAAAAGGAATGGGGAGAGGAGGGAGGAGTAGAAAATATCCCAAAGGATGAACTTCCCTGTTGAACATCACATGCTTAACCAAAATCAACACAGTCATTTTCCTTACGGGGTTTTCTTCAAGAAAATCACAAATCCAACCATTTAGATGTATCTTCATGGAACTGCTTTACAAAAGAAGCCATGAACAATGTTCTCTTCCAGAATCTGTTCATTACTCCTCTATGTCAATGCACACACAACAGAAAAAGCCCAGCTCTTAACCAGCACATTTGCTGAAGGTTACTTAGCAATACCTCAGTGCTAGGAAATGGCCAAAACCAAATAATTCCCTTTGCTCATTTAAAGCAGTTCAGTAATATTTGATTGCGCAGACGTCTCTCCTCCTGCACATCATAAACCTGAGCTGCTCATTAACCACCAGGACAAGCAAATAAAGCTCCCTCCAAAGGGGGTTGAAGATCAGATTCAGTATTTTTGCTGTAAGCATACCTTGTGAAGTCAGAAATTGTTCCAGATACAAACCCCACTGTGTGGCAATCTGAACAAATACCAACAGTCAGCTATAAAAAATAAAATTTGTTTCCTGTGCATTTTTCTTTCCTTCAAGCCACTGGCTTTAAGACAGTCGTTCACTGAGCTCCAGCACTTTTTTGTGCACTTCACAACACAGAACGGGATACTTCTGGTAATATTTATTGTATTATCTACAACTGATAAGTGAAAGTTACTCAGCAAAACAACGAAGAATGTTATGATTTCCAAGTATGTGACTCAGGAAAGAGCTTCACCATAGCCCTACAAATTAAGTAAATAAAAGGAGATTAAAAACAACAGATTGACATCTATAACTTAGAAGCACGTCTGCTTTTCCCAATAGGTGGAAGCTACAATTCTGCTATCTTCAATTCTCCCATTACAAAAACTGAGAAAAAAATAAAAAGAAATGCTAGATCTAGACTTCTCCATACCCACAACTGTTTAACAAGCTACTGGATACATCCCACAGACTGGAAAGAATTATGCCACCAGATCTTCACCTTATATGCCATCAGACCTTCACCTTATATGCCACAAATTTTACTGATTGCAATGGAGGCTGAGCAAGAATCAAGGTCTTCTGGGGTTCAGTCTGACCATTACGGGAAATATCTGGCACGGTATTTTGATTACAGAACTCTCCAAATATCATTTGTGAGAGAAGGACATAAAAGGTATTAGTCTGCTGTTAGCTCTTGTTTTGCAAGTTTGTTTGCAGCAGAAACAGATAACACTGGCCAGGACAGATGCATATTTTTCCACC